TTTGGGCTGCATCAATAGGAGCATAGTGTCTAGATCTAAGGAAGTAATGCTACCCCTCTATTCTGCTTTGGTTAGACCACATCTGGAATATTGTGTCCAATTCTGGGCACCACAATTCAAGAGAGATATTGACAAGCTGGAATGTGTCCAGAGGAGGGCGACTAAAATGATCAAGGGTCTGGAGAACAAGCCCTATGAGGAGCGGCTTAAAGAGCTGGGCATGTTTAGCCTGAAGAAGAGAAGGCTGAGAGGAGATATGATAGCCATGTATAAATATGTGAGAGGAAGCCACAGGGAGGAGGGAGCAAGCTTGTTTTCTGCTTCCTTGGAGACTAGGACCGGAACAATGGCTTCAAACTACAAGAGAGGAGATTCCATCTGAACATTAGGAAGAACTTCCTGACTGTGAGAGCGTTCAGCAGTGGAACTCTCTGCCCTGGAGTGTGGTGGAGGCTCCTTCTTTGGAAGCTTTTAAGCAGAGGCTGGATGGCTATTTGTCAGGGGTGATTTAAATGTAATATTCCTGCTTCTTGGCAGGGGGTTGGACTGGATGGCCCATGAGGTCTCTTCCAACTCTTTGATTCTATGATTCTATGTTCTTTGGTCACATGTATTTCAATTTTCATTTGTGAAATTTTTGGGAAGTATGCTAGGTATTTTAGTTTACAGATCTAATAGTTTGATAGGGATACCCTTCAGGTAACTATGTAGCATTAGTTCTGTTAACAAGTAACCAGTTAACATTTCCTTTATCTTTACCTCCTTTCCCTTCTCTATACAGCTGCTTCCATTTGCATATGTTGAGGGGCAGGAGACAGAAAATCTGTTTGCCAATATTGATTAAAACCATGACAAGACACAAAAATAAAAATGATAAAACAAAATAATTGGCCTAGGACCTTCCAAATGCTGCAACCCCTTAATACAGCTCCTCATGTTGTGGTGACCCCCAACCATTAAATTATTTTTGTTGCTACTTCAGAACTATAATTTAGCTACTGGTATGAATCGTAATGTAAATATCCTATATGCAGGATGTATTTTCATTCACTGGGCCAAATTTGGACAAATACCTGATATGCCCAAATTTGAATACTGGTGGGGTTGGGAGGGGGCTGATTTTGTCATTTGGGAGTTGTAATTGCTGGGATTTACAGTTGACATATAATCAAAGAGCGTTCTGAACTCCACCAATGACGAAATTGACCCAAACTTGGCACATAGAACTCCCACGATCAACAGAAAATACTGTGTTTTCTGGTGGTCTTTGGTGACCCTTCTGACACTCCCTCATGAACCCTGCCCCCCCCCCCCGGGGTCCCGACCCCCAGGTTGAGAAACACTGGTATAGGAATAAAGCAAATGCAAAGCCTGGATCATATTTGTAATATCTTGTTTGGTTGGTTGGCAAGCAACAGCTCAACAAGCACCAACATGATGACCACCTCATTTTGAATTAGCTTCTTCCTTTGACCTATCAAAGACAACTTCATGCAAAGGGCATTACAGTCGTGGTTAAGAAAGATGATCACAAGTTTGAAAGCATTTTTGTTCACTGTCACCATGACAATCTTGAGATTCAAAACCCTATATACTCATGCATATATAAAGAAACTTTAATTGAAAAAATGACTCAGGGTGCATTAATTCTACATTGCAGAATTAATGCAGCTTGTCTGGAGCATGGGGCTAGGCCAATTCTATTTCCACTTGCTTTCTGCTCATTTATTATGCATTTAGATCCTAAAATATGAAGAAAATTAGTACCTTTCAGGAACTCTAGCACAAATGCATCATTAAAACTAATCATGAAGATAACAAAATTTGGTTTATATATTCCGAGAAACTGAAAACGATGCCATAGTTGCCTCTATATGAAGGATGATTATGGGCAACAGATGTTCTAGTTTAATTATGACTGGGAAACAAGCAAAATGTGGTGTACATTTCTGACAGTTTGAAATCAGACTTTTACAGAAACTTTTCTGCGTGTAACTTTCCGTAAATGCCTTTGCTTGAGGCTGAACATTTTTGCACTAATATAAACAGATGAATGAATTCCTCAGAACAAGTAAAAACTAGCAGAAATGGTTCAGCAACAGGAAAAAAAGAAAGCAAAATGCTCTGAAATTCAAAACGGTAGTACAATTTGTTGCTCATTAGCACCATGCAAAAGTGTTTTGTTGTATTTCAGGAATGGTGGACATTGTTATATTACAATTCCTATCATTCTTTACCTTTTTACTGTGCTGGCTAGAGCTAATGGGAGTCATAGTCCAACAAAGTTTAGAAAACAGGTTTCTAACTCTTCATGTATTTACCTCACTCCGATTTTTGCACCAGGAGGCAGAAAACATGTTCTGCGTAATACATTTTGCAGACATGACAGTATACTGATTATATCTCAGAGAGCATGACGAAATTCAGAACTGTGTAAATGTAAGAAACCTTAGATTTGCAGCTAAATGCAGCTTTTAATGGGTGAATTATATGGCTAAGAATCACACATCAATACTGTTTGACCTTGTAAAACTATAACTCATGATTCTATAGCATTAAGCTAGATCGGTATTTCTCAACCTGGGGGTCACAAGGGGGTTTTAGTGGGTCACCAAAGACCATCAGAAAACATATATTTCTGATGGCCTTAGGAACCCCTTTAGCAGAGAAGGCCGAAGAACTCTCTGCCTGTCCTTCCCTTTCTTTTTGGAAACAGACGGCAAATCTTCCCACCAAAAGCTCTCCTGTGCTGTGATTGGCCGACCTCTCAGCCAAGGGGAGGGCTGTTTCTGAGACACCAAGCCAGGGGAGGGGAGAGCAGGCGTGTTTGGCACATAGCAGAATGGTGCGCATGTGCATGTGAGGTTGGAGGGAGGCTTGGGCCATAGGTTGAGAACCACTGTTCTATACATAAACACACATATGCACACTGGTAGGCCTGGAGGGCCAAAGTTTGCTCATGCCTGATCTATAGGCATGTATCTGTCTGTGCGTATAACTTTGTGTGTATGTATGTGTATATGCTTGTCTGTGTGTATAAGTATGTATGTGAGTGTATGTACATGTCTGTGGTTTACTTGTGTGTATGTATGTGAGTGTATGTGCCTGTCCGTATGCATAAGTTTGTGTGTATGCATGAGAGTGTATGCACCTGTCTATGTGTATGTGAGTGAGTGTATGTGCCTGTTTGTGTGTATAAGTTTGTGTGTATGTATGTGCGTGTCTATGTGTATAAGTTTGTGTGTTGGTATGTGAGTGTATGTGCCTGTTTGTGTGTATACGTTTGTGTGTCGGTATGTGAGTGTATGTGCCAGTTTGTGTGTATGTATATATGTGCCTGTTTGTGTATATGTATGCGAGTGTATGTGCCTGTAAGTGTGTATAAGTTTGTGTGTATGTATGTGAGCATATGTGCCTGTCTGTGTGTATAAGTTTGTGTGTACATATGCAAGTGTATGTGCCTGTAAGTGTGTATAAGTTTGTGTGTATGTATGTGAGCGTATGTGGCTGTCTGTGTGTATAAGTTTGTGTGTACATATGTGAGTGTATGTGCCTGTGTGTATAAGTTTGTGTGTATGTATGTGAGTGTATGTGCCTGCTTGTGTGTATGTATGCGAGTGTATGTGCCCGTAAGTGTGTATAAGTTTGTGTGTATGTATGTGAGCGTATGTGCCTGTCTGTGTGTATAAGTTTGTGTGTACATATGTGAGTGAATGTGCCTGTGTGTATAAGTTTGTGTGTATGTATGTGAGTGTATGTGCCTGCTTGTGTGTATGTATGCGAGTGTATGTGCCTGTAAGTGTGTATAAGTTTGTGTGTATGTATGTGTGTATGTGCCTGTCTGTGTGTCTAAGTTTGTGTGTATGTGCCTGCTTGTGTGTATGTCTACGAGTGTATGTGCCTGTAAGTGTGTATAAGTGTGTGTGTATGTATGTGAGTGTATGTGCCTGTCTTTGAGTATAAGTTTGTGTATATGTATGTGAGTGTATGTGCCCGTTTGTGTGTATGTATGTGCCTGTAAGTATGTATAGGTTTGTGTGTATGTATGTATGTGAGTGTATGTGCCTGTCTGTGTGTATAAGTTTGTGTGTATGTATGTGAGTGTATGTGCCTGCCTGTGTGTATAAGTTGTGTGTATGTATGTGAGTGTAGGCACCTGTCTGTGTGTATGTATGTGAGTGTATGTGCCTGTTTGTGTGTATGTATGCGAGTGTATATGCCTGTTTGTGTGTAAGTATGTGAATGCATGTGCCTGTCTGTGTGTATAGGTTTGTGTGTATGTATGTGAGTGTATGTGCCTGTTTGTGCGTATGTATGCGAGTGTATATGCCTGTCTGTGTGTATAAGTTTGTGTGTATGTATGTGAGTATATGTGCCTGTTTGTGTGCATGTGAATGTATGTGCCTGTTTGTGTGTATGCATGTGACTGTATGCGCCTCTCTGTGTGTATAAGTTTGTGTGTATGTATGTGCGTGTCTGTGTGTATACGTTTGTGTGTATGCATGTGAGTGTATATGCCTTTATGTGTGTATAAGTTTGTGTGTCTGCACGTGAGTGTATGCGCCTGTCTGTGTGTATAAGTTTGTGAGTATGTACATGAGTGTCTGCACCAATCTGTGTTTATGTATTTGAGTGTATGCGCCTGTCTGTTAGGAATTGTAGGAGCTGAAGTCTAAAACACTGGCGGGCCGAAGTTTGCCCATGCCTCATCTATAGGCATGTGCTTGTCTGTGTGTATAAGTTTGTGTGCGTGTATGTGCGTGTATAAGTTTGTGTGTACATATGTGAGTATATGCGCCTGTCTGTGAGTATGTTTGTGCGTATACATGTGCGTGTATGTGCTTGTCTGGGTGTATAAGTTAGTGTTTGTGTGTCTGCATGTGTGTAGAAGTGTGCGTGCGTGCGGTGTGTGCCTGTCAGGGCGCGCTGGGGCAAAGCGGCTCCAGAGGAGAAGGAGGAGGAGGAGGAAGAGGAGGAGGGAGGGCCAGCGGAGAAGGAACTCCAGCCAGAGTGAAGAAAGTCCTGCCCAGCTGTTTGCGAACTTCGAAGGTTTCCTGTTTCCCCTGCAGTCAGGCAGGCAGGCAAGCAAGCAGGCCGGGCTGCAGCGAGCGGAGGGGCGTGAGTCACAGAGGCACGCACTCCCAGCAACAGCAGCAGCCGCCCAGCCGCCCATCCGCCTCTGCTCCTTCGGCTGCCTCTGGCGGGGCCTCCTCGGCTGGCTGTGGTTCTCCCTGGAGCCCCCAAAGAAGCCCTGGCCGCCTCCCCTCCGCGCGCGGGCGCCCAAGGCACGGATGTACCATGAGCTGGCTTGCCAAGCTCGCTTTGGTGTGGACTCTGCTGCACATCGCCACGCCCGCGCTGGCCCGGGCCACAGGTAAAGCTCGCACCAGAGGTTTCCCCCTCTTGCGTTCCAGCAACGCTCCTGAGAGAGAGAGAGAGAGCCACGGCTTTGGAGATGGTCAGGAGCTCCCTTGGGTTGCCTCAAGGCCACTTCCTTTCCCGCTTCAACGCTTGGGAAAGTTCAGAGGAACTTTTCTGTCCGTTTCCTCTCCCCTATATTTCTCTTTGTATCCAGAAGGAAACCTCTCCCTGACTGGGAGGGGAAAGGGTGGCCTTAGAAGGCCTCCAGGTGTTTTGGACTCCAACTCCCACCATTCCTAACAGCCTCAGGCCCCTTCCTTTTCCCCCTCAGCCGCTTAAGCGGCTGAGGGGGAAAAGGAAAGGGCCTGAGGCTGTTAGGAATGGTGGGAGTTGGAGTCCAAAACACCTGGAGGGCTCAAGTTTGTCCATGACTGCCTTAAGTGATCATTTTCTCTCAGCTTGGACCCAAAAGGAGCCACTCTTCGCTCTATTTGCCAGGAATAGAAGGTTATTTCAAAGGAATAAGGGTTACAGTGTCTTTAGGACAGTGGCTCCCAATTTTCCAACCGCCACGACCCCTTAATACAGTTCCTCATGTTGTGGTGACCCCCCAACCATAACATTATTTTCGTTGCTACTTAATAACTGTAATTTGCTACTGTTGTGAATCATCATGTAAATATCTGATATGTAGATGTGTTTTCGTTCACTGGACCAAATTTGGCACAAATACCCCATACGCCCACATTTGAATGCTGGTGGGGTTCGGGGAGAGGGCTGATTTTGTCATTTGGGAGTTGTAGTTGCTGGGATTTATAGTTGACGTACAATCGAAGAGCATTCTGAACTCCACCAAGGATGGAATTGAACCAAACTTGACCAACAGAAAATACTGGAAGGGTTTGATGGACATTGACCTTCAGTTTTGGAGTTGTAGTTCGTTCAGAGAACACTGTGAACCCAAACAATGATGGATCTGGACCAAATTTGGCATGAATCTATATAAATAAAATGTAATGTTAGTTTGTGGGATTGACATAACTCAAAAACCACTGGACGAGTTGACACCAAATTTGGACACAAGACACCTATCAGGCCAACGAGTGACCATCACTCATAAAAGCAAAAATAAAGAAAAAACACACAGCAGAAAGGACTTAAAAAGCCAGAAAACAAAAAAAATAACATTACAACACATGCGCAAAACCACATATATACACACACACATATATACACATATACACAAATACACACACACACATACACATATATACACACACAAAACACATATACACAGACTGGGACACAGAAACACGTGGCAGGGGATGGATAGTACTCAATATGCCCAAAGGTGAACACTAGTGGAGTTTGGGGAAAATAGACCTTGACATTTGGGAGTTGTAGTTGCTGAGATTTATAGTTCACCTACAATCAAAGGGCATTCTGGACCCCATCAACAATAGAATTGGGCCAAACTTCCCATATAGAACCCCCCCCCCCGACCAACAGCAATAACTGTGTTTTGCCAGCCCCTCTGACACCCCCTTGTGACCCCCCCCCCCCAGGGGTCCCAACACGCAGGTTGAGAAACACTGGCATAGGGGAACTATATCTTGTTTGCTGCTTTTTCAGCTGTGGGTCCTCACCCCAAATAGCGCCCCTTTCGCTTGAAAAAATCGGTAACAGTGCAAGGTATCTGAATGCTCCCTATTTACATAAACCTGTTTGAGGGGTGGGTGAAAATCTGGTTACTCATGAATTTTAACTGGTTAACAAATTATTGAGTAAATTAGGTTTTCTTTAAACCTGAAATATTTTTTTTGGGGGGTGTTAAAATCTTAATCCCCCCCTCTGGTTCCAGACCTGGTTAGCAGTAATATGCAGTGTTTACTGTGGACTCTGCAGTAAATGCTTCACAGCTGTACTGCACAAAAAGGGAAAAACAACCTGTTTAGCAATTCTTCATTTGTTCCCAGTAAGTATTTGATTTTTATACAAGTATATACCTAGGGCCAAAAGGAGTTGCGGATTAAAGAAGTTTAAGAAGCCCTCCTGCGGTTGACAAGTTTGGAGTGCAATGCTTCACATTAGGGAACTATATTCTGAGATGGTATATTGGGGGCACAGTCCCTTAGAATAGTAAAGGTAAAGGTTTCCCCTTGGCATTAAGTCTAGTTGTGTCCTACTCTGGAGAGTGGTGCTAAGCACCACTCTCCAGAGTAGGACACAACTAGACTTAATGCCAAGGGGAAACCTTTACCTTTACTATTCTAAGGGACTGTGCCCCCAATATACCATCTCCCCAATATACCATCTCTCAATTTCTATACAGTAGTGTAGTAGTAGTAGTAATAGTAAATTTTATTGATTAGCCCTTAGGCCATTTCACAATACCAAACCAAACAAAAAGGCTTGATAAAACTTGATTTCACTCTGTATAGCAAGTTAAGTAAATCACTTATAACAATATACTAAATAAATATGATAAAACTGAATATATACATAATGTTTCCATTTCTAAGCCGAAGAACTGTTGTCGTCTGTATATGCCTTCAAGAACATGTGGCCTGCATGACTGCAGGGAGCGCCGTTAGCTTTCTGCCTGAGGAGTTCCTATTAATCTACTCACATTTGCATGCTTTCAAATTGCTAGGTTGGCAGAAGCTGGGGCTTCTGCCAGATTCGAATCGCTGACCTTTCGGTCAGCATGTTCAGCAGCTTAGCGCTTTAACCCACTGTGCCACCAGGGGCTCCATAGCATAGGACAACTATATCCTGTAGTTGATAATTTGGGAGTCCAGTGCCTTAGAATAGTGGGACTGTATCTTGTAGTTGACAAGATTTCTTTTATTATAGATTTTTTTCTGTGTCAGCAGCAACTTGAGAAACTGCAAGTCGCTTCTGGTGTGAGAGAATTGGTCATCTGCAAGGACGTTGCCCAGGGGTCGTCTGAATGTTTTACCATCCTGTGGGAGGCTTCTCTCCTATCCCTGCATGAGAAGCTGGAACTGACAGATGGGAGTTCACCATGCTCCCCAGATTCAAACCTCTGACCTTTCAGTCAACAGTCCTGCTGGCACAAGGGTTTAACCTATTGCATCACCGGGGGGCAATAAGTACTCTATTACGTGCTGATCCCTATCACATCAAAATAGTTGGGGTCAGAATTTCAAAATGTGTTCCCCTTTTTCCCCCTAACAAAAAACTTTTTTTCTGTTACAAAGCATAGTTAAATAAATTGCTTTGCTCGGGCACTGCTACATATTGTAAAATTACAGGAAATTGACTGGGAAACCAAAGGAACGGAGTGCGTGTATGGTGACAGGTTTGTGGAAAACAGTAGAGGCAGCAATTTTTTAAGAGTATGATGGTAAACACACATAGATGGATGTATGGGTTGTTTCATATGATAGTAAATGCTTGGATTTCAAATGTCTCAGGATTTCCCATCTTATTTTTGCTTTTTGTCTTGCTCATGTGTAGATTCCTTCTCTGCCCTCTTTTCAACTTGCTTTGATACAAGCATGTTACAAAGAGATAAGTGTAGTAGAAACTAGACTTTCCATTGCTTTAAAAATGCCCTAGTTGTGAATTCCAGTGAGGCAATCTGGTCATATGATTACAGTCTTTAAACTTCCTTAAAGTTAACCAACTACTTCAGAACTTTCACTGTAATTATATTGTCATATTGAGGTTCTGGCGCATTACTCATCCGTTCTGTTGTTGTTGTTGTTATACTCCACTTTCCTCTCTTCATCCAGACTCAAAAGCAGCTCACAACAGTAAAACAATACAATTTAAGAATTAAAATAGAATTAAACATGGAGATATTTCAAACCTACTGTCTGCTTAATGGGTATGGCCAATATTGTACTAGGGGTCACAATTTGAAAAATAGGACACTATATAAATAGCAGAGGTAGAATTTTGTCAGTGTAGCCAATGATGAGGAATGCTGGGAGATGCAACCCAACATCTGGAGAGCCACAAAGTTCCCAGTCCTGCTCTACAACAAGGATAGTTCATGCACACAATCAAGATGTTCAACTTCCCTTTCATTGTTGGTTATGCTGGCTCCTTGGGTTGGCATTTAATCACATTTGGAGGGCCATGTGACCCACATTTTGGGCTCTAGATGTGTAACCTGAAATGGCACCAGGGACCCAGAAACTTTATGCTTGTTAATGAGCCACTACTCTTTATGTTTTGTGGCCTTTTATACTGGAATCTCCTTCCTAAAATACCTATGTGCACCCCTGTTCTCACCTCAAAGTATGTTTGAAAAGTATAGAAGTGCAGGTATGACAATTTCATTACACTTAACTTCTCCCTTTTAAAAGCAATGCTTTTAAAGAATCCTCCACCTTGTGAAACTGTGGAGCAGAACAAACAGCTCCACATCTGTATGCTTATCCGCAAATGTCCTGCCTCATATACAGAGGAACAATTGCTTAAATCTACAGACAATATGGTCGCTGTTGGCCGTTTTTGGTAAAAAAAAAAAAGCTGTTTGTGCTCCTTCTATTTTTATCAGTTTTATATTTATTTATGTAGTGCTTTTGATACAAAATAAATAACATGTCTCCCTTTTTGCCTTCCCTTGGTAGAACATCTATGGGAGGTGATTTTTTATCTTTACGCTGATTTTGCAAACTACATGAAGAATGCTATGTACTGTCATGTGTGCTGACAGTAAAACTGTAGGAATAATACTGTTCACTGACTGTATTATTTATTTCCTATATTTATACCCCGCTCTTCTCACCCAGTTTCGCAATCCTGTATAAGCTTAGTGTTGGAAAAGACATGTATGCATTTTATACATATAAACCTATATATTATCAAATTTGTTATCTGCATTAAACAATCTGTCATGGGGTTTTTTTGTTTCTGATTTGCTAATTATTTTATGTGTTTTATACCAGAAAGCAAATAGGATCTCTATCTTAGTTGTACAGTATTGTTGTCTCTTAAATATTGGCCCTCTGGTTATTCCATAAGTTAATGCCTAGT